CAGCAGCCGACCCGGTGGGTTTGTTTAAGGCTCACTGTCACAGCAAACTGTCAGCTCTACTGGAGCTCAGCAGCTCTGACTGAACAGACAGTACACAAACACACACATGCATGCTTGCATACAGTATGAATACACAGCTGGAAGGTATGACATATGTTAAGTGTTTAGAAAAATTGCTAAGAAAAACCTCCTGGCATAGTCGAATTAAGCTTTTCTTTAAAGAAAATGCTAGCGCCGCTTCAGATATGTTATCTAATCATGGGCTGGCTCGTCATATAAAAGGAGCTACAGTATCACATCAGATGTTGCTTTGTTTTGTGAAAGCTTCATTTTTTCTACATTTATTAAGAGGCAATATTTACATATATATTTTGAATACTTTTAGAGCATTTTTTTCTGCTCACGCGAAAAAACACACACATGGGGGAGGGGGTGTTATTTTAGCTGAAAAGGTACTCGTAGTAACAATGCGTACAGGTGCAGAGACACCTGCTGCAGTCGGGGGCTGTGTTCTGTATGGTTGGACTATTGTAAATTATGGTGAACATTCAACAGTTGCTTTTATTTAGAAAATTCCTTATCATCCTGATAAGTTATTACAGAATGCTTTTATTTTGAAAACCTTAATACCAATCAAGAATTTAAATGACAACATATAGTGGGATTTTTGATTGGATCGGTTGTTAGTGTTTTGTGTACTGATTCTTAGCAAAATACAAGGATTTAGATCATCTGTAAAGACTCATACATGCAAGCTGAATGATTGGAAGATGGAACATTCTGACTTGTCTACAAGAATTTGCCAACTACTCGCTGAGCAGCAGTGAATCTTGTAATATATGAGCCAAAAGGAAACAGAGACCATTTGTCTTACTGCTGGAACATACACATTAAAAATTAAAAAACTTTTACTTTGAAAGCGAGTGGTCTCAGTTTCCTCTGTGCCTTTTTTTTTTTTTACTAATGCTTAGTGACCAGTTGATGAGATGTATACTCTGCTGCACCATATACCTATCTCCACCATTGTTACACCAGCAATGGCCAGCATCAACCACTTTACTACAAACTGGGAAATACAAATTTTTCCCTATAGCGACCGGGGGTTGCTGAATGCTCTCTAAGCCTGTGTGACTGGGAGCTAAAATCTATAGACTCTCTTAGCCCCTGCCAACTGAGGCTAACTTTTACATCACATGAAGGTGACATTTTGTAATACCAATGACAGAGCGACGACATGCATTTCCCTTTCCTTGTGTGGACAATAACGAGTTATGCCCAGGCATGTCTGACAGCGAAGTTCACGTGTTGGCCTCTGATGATTTAGAAAAAGGATCTGCTGTAATGACCTCCAACAAAGCACGATGCTTTCCAGTATATGTAAGAACACTGTTCCTGTCAAAAGGTAGAAACAACAGACTTGAGGTGAGTATAACCAGGATATGAAAAGTATATCATAAAGTATAACTTTTTTTAAAAAGAATTTCTACATTTTTAAGCTGCTTGGTGTAACTTATATAATTGCACTGA